TGGTCCTTCCCCGGTCGAGTCGACAGATTCGTAGTAAATTACTTCAAGAAATACGTTATCACCTATAGGACCTAAGATGGAATCCCATACAGTCTGTGATTATATTGGTACTCTATACCCTTCACACTCAAACACATAAGTGTACGCCCTGCTATTGGACGACAGAAATAGATACCAAGGTGGAACCTATCTGAGTAGGACTCCCAGTCAGTAAAGAAGCCCTAAAACCTAATAAAAGAGATAATACCATTTCATATAACAGTAATAAGTATGCACTGAGCTATGATAATGATTTATATTAGAACAACACTACGTATAACATCCAAAAACCAAATTCTATGTAATCACATTCTTGCAAATATGTGTTCAATAGAGTTCAAAGTGGAAAATGCAAATGCCCCAACAAAGTGGAAAGCATAATAATGTCCTCCAGACCGAATTTCGGTCACGGCGGCCTCCCTCAACGGAGACTAGCCATCGCATCGGCGCAGGACAGGATTATAGTGCCCAAGTGTATGCGCAAGCACAGGTATACTCTCCATTCCCTCACTCTCATAATCCGATGAGACGGTAAACCGACACAACCGAAAAGAGATCAGGCGCAGGACCAACAGCTTTGCGTGCTTTCCGAGGCACGGGGGTGAGACACCGCCAACTTCCCGACACCGGGCAACTACTGAGAATTTCTTGACGGAAAAAGTCAAAAATTGATTTTTTGGCCCGACCTTGGTATTCGAACTATCCTTGGATATTATTGGTATTGGATCCTGGGATCTCATGATCAAGAGTCGCACTACAACAACCATTAGAACAACGAGGCAGTCGTGGACAGTATATCTAATACCCAGACCCACCAAGACCGAAGTTGCAAATATACGCCAGGTTGAAAATATTCTTCTCGTTTGAGCGAAAACATAGATTATCTCGGCTATGTTACAAGTAAACTACGCTATGTGCATCGGAATTTTCTAGTATCCCTCAGTAAAACACGTAAAATAACTTTATAAACATACGTAATTAAGTTCAAGGCAGTTAGAAACGATTAAGTAGATTTCTCACACAGATTTTCACAGCATATTATGCACCTCGAAGACAAATGCTTTTGATTGTCTGTCTTATCGATAGCCTAATCTTATTTTTAAGGATCAAACACAATTGAACGTTGTACTGTAGTGAGGTATAACTCTCAGCGTTTTAAAGGCAAAGGATGGAAGAAAAATATTGTTTGTCTTCTCCAAAAAAAAAATCATGAAACTTTGTATCTTTGATAGTAAATATATTTATGCCAACAAGGAGAAAAAGAGTTTTAATTAACATATTCATTCATAAAGCGCATATTTTTATTATTAAAGTTTTAATTAAAAATTTGAATGCGGGGATGGAAGTAAAATTGAAAATTCCTACATGACGTTTATGTTATTTTGGTCTGTCCGTATTAAAATAGGTTATATAAAAATAAAACATATTGCAAAATATGTAAACATAAAGATACTATTAATATATACGGTAAAAAGTGTATTTATTTTAAAGTTATTTAAAATTAGCTCGAGCTAGTATAATTTTGGTATCTTATGTTTTCTTTTGCTTTTAAAAACACAGTGTGCTACGTTTACAAAACAGTGGTGTAACATTATTTTGAGTGTTTTGATCATGCAAATATATCTAATAATATGAGCAATGTATAAAATATTTTTATTTTTCTTATGCTTATTAATTTTAAATTTAAAAGCTGTTTTTTCTATCATCTTAATACGATTTGGTCCTAATTCAATACATTGTGTGGATAAATATAGGCAAGCTTTAAATAGTGTATTGTTCATTTAGGTAATTTCCTTGAACGAAGTAATTTCGTTTTATTGTTTTCCTAGCTCCGAGTACAGGTAAGGCTATGTCTAAGTTTACAGAAAACAGAATATATTGATCGAAACCCATTGTTGTTTTTGGTTGAATACCAATACTATCACCTACTTGTTCACCAAAATAATGGAAACAATTATAAACTGTCAGCTCATGAGTTGCCTTGAGGACCACAAGCTGATTAGTAACTGCAAATACGCGATCAGCTGGTGATCTGGTTACCCGACCTATAAATGGGCGAAGGCAGTAAAGTCTAAGGCTTGGCAGTTAGTGTGGATATAGCGAAGGTATTGGATCGGGTTCGGCACAAAGCGCTTCTTTCAAAACTTCTTTACTATGGGTTTTCCGAATTGTGCAATTGGATTACCAGTTTCCTTGTTGATCGGAGCCATCAAGGTCATAGTTGACGGTGGATGCTCCGATCACAAGCCCATAAACACTGGTGTTCCACAAAGATGTATGCTATCGCCAACCGCTGTTCCTTCTACATATCAATGGTATGTTGCAAACTAGTAGTATTCATTGCTACGCGAACGACAGCACAGGTGATGCTTTTTAATCTGGCCTTGCTAATATTTCTCGGGATCACAGCTTCGAGTACCGAAACAAACATGTGTCTGAAGTCGAGTCGTTGTTAAACAAAGTCTCATATTGGAGACGACTAAGCCTAGCTCAGTTTAACCCTTAGAACACATTTTACCGATAAAAAAACTCTTTGTCGTATCTATTCAATTTAAGGGCACTACCCTAGCATCGGAACCCCTGACATTGACGTATCGAATACAGTTTTCAGTCAAAAATCCAGTGTCGTGGTCACTTGGAAGGTAAGGCTAAATTGACCTCTTAAAAGCTTGGCGTGCTCAGCAGAGCGAGACAGTATTTCATGCCGGCACAACGCCTGCAACTTTACAAGGTGCAAGTTCGATCTCACATTGAACACTGTTCTCATCTCTGGGCCGGGACATACCCAGTCTCAGATCCTTCCACTTAGCCGCATCCAGCGCAGAGTGGCTCGAATCGCCGACGACGTTCTTTCCGATCGGCTCGATTCACTTTCGCTGATTATTAGATTTTATTAGATTGCGAAGAGAGAGATTTTGTACGCGGAAGAGCCACGCTGCAGCTATTTTAGGGTTGTAGCACGAATGGGTAGGCTCGACCGGGGAAGGAATTCGCCCTCACAGAATACCATCGTAAAATAGCAGCTTATTACTTCCATCTTAGTCCTCAGGGGTGACACCGCATCTACGTTTTGATTCTTAATCGAGGATTATGTAGATGTCTATGGGCCACAGCATCAAATTACCATCAAGTGAACTGTGTGCTCGTTTGTCACCATTATTCTATAAAAATACTATTGCATATATACACATATATATACATATATATATATATATATATATATACATTAATGCAATTAAATATATATAGATTTTCCCGGACCGATACGACTTAGGGACCTTCAAGAAAAGAGCTTAATCCTTTTTAAAAGGTCGACGGTAATCAGAATTAGGTAAACCGCATGCTCGTCTGCCCCCTTATTTAAATGATTTGACATTTAGAGAAAAGGAGTTGACATTCGTCATATATAATAAGCATCCCAACCAGATGAGAACACTTTGAAATTACTCACTTAGGAATAAAAATAATGTAAGCACCCTTTTAACCGAATAGGGGTGGCATACGAACACAGAGTCCACGTAATGGTAATTTGACGCTGTGGTCCATAGGGAAATCTATCCTCGATTTAGATTCAAAATTAGGATGCGTTGTCAACCCTGAATAAAGAGAATAAGAAAAACAGTAGTACTAAGGTGCGTTAAAGTACGCTGGTATTCTGTTAGAGCATGTACTTAGCCTGTCGAACAGACCCATTCAACATGTAACCATAATATACGACTCCACCTGTTAAATCCTTTGTTTATTTACGCGTGAAGCGTTAGATAATTACGTAAAAAATACAAAGTAAGTGAACAATAATAAATTGAATTTATAAATGTCCTGTTGAAGAACACAAGTCTCCTGATATTTTGGGAAAATCATAGAAACCTATTACGTCCTGAGCAGAATGTAAGATTTTTTTTTAATAAAATTAGGGTGACAAACGAGCACAGTCCACCGGATGGTAAGCGGATGCTGTAGGCCCATAGACATCTACATTTAACCTCGATTAAAAATCAAAATGCAGATGCGTTGACACTCCTGAGGACTAAGATGGAATGCCTCGAGTAAAACGGGTCTCCGGTTCTCTATACTCACAATACGAAACACAGAAGCATCAGGATGCTATTTTACGCTGGTATTCTGTGAGACCGTGGTCCTTCCCCGGTCTAGCCGACCCATTCGTGCTACAACCATAATGTAGCTGCAGCGTGGGTCTACTACGTATGATAGATGAATCAAAACTAAAATTATGATCAAAAGATTTTGTTTAGAATTATGTTATTAGATTCTCAACATGTAGGAAGTTCGATTTCAAATCGGTCGAAGATCACTTTGTACACGTAGGTGCGAATTATAGAATATAATATATATTAATAAATAATTATGTAAAAATAGTATAACTATATTATAAAATTTAAAAACATTGCTCATATTTGTTCACAAGTCGACTGCTGAACCTACCAACCAAGAAATGCCACAATGGCAGCATTGAGCCTTCATATGCATACAGCGACTCCCTGCATATCTTACCAGGTCGTCGATATATGTTCCAAAATAGTTAAATATAACATAGAAATTTACATTGTTGACCTTTGTGTTTAAACCTTCAATATTTATGTCGTTCACTTTTTTTTAGAATCGAACTTATAGCGCACACAGAGGTAGCTATTTAAGTATGTATCATTTAAAATTACTAACTTTAAAAATTAAACCTAAACGTCAATATTATTATTTTACGATAACGGAGTGATAGAATCTATGAATGTATATTCTGGCTAATACATTATTGATAAGTTATTGACCGAGGATATTATTGAATGGAAAGCGTCAATTGAAGGTCAAAACTCCCACAAGCTCCCAAAGGGCTTAATTATCAACCTCTATGACTCGGGGTATCCAGCGAAAGTGAACGCCAAACAGCGCCCCACCTTCCACCTCATGGGGTGGGCTTGAATATATATAAACAAAAATCCAAGGTAATGGTACAGAGTAAAAACAGTTCCGGCGTAGCAGCTATTGGAACGGCCGTTCCCCGCCCCACCATGCGAGGGATCTGGAGCCAAGCGGTCAGTGTTGCAAAAAGTTTTTACCCGCTACGAGTTACGTCCGATTATGTCACGCGAGTTAGGCCGCTGTTAGATCATCGGATCGGTGAAACACCAACAACATTAGGTTCAGTGCGTAAATTGTGTAAACGGTGATAATAACTTGTGTAAATATAATTACCGCGTTTTCCTTTTTTTTTTCAATTACAAATGCTGAAAATCATATCGTTGTGTACAATAAAAAATATTTTTTTAGTTCTTGTCATTGATTCGGATGCTACAATATTTTTGATCCCATATTTGCTATTGTTTAAAATGCACTTTAAGCACGCAGCTATTAGATTTATCACTATTTAAGGTGTTGTAACAAGTAGCAATGTTAAATATTGACGTTTCGCTCATTCAAACTTACTGTACAAACTTTGCACTGTAAGCAATCACACACGGACGTGGTAATTGCTAAATATTGTTTTATGTTAACAAAAAACAGAAGCACTGCCCCTTTGTTGTCCCGCTGAAGAATTCGGATTTTATTAATGGCATCTACATATCTGACGCACAAAATTCGCTCAGATCATTCTTAAAGCAATAACGAGTTTAGTTGGCATTCGTTTGTCAATGTTCGTCGTTGTATAGAAGTGGACATTGCTATTATTTATGGGCTGATAAACAAGTTCGCCGTGTTGATAATGTAATGTGCATGTTAGTTGTCATAAATTTCGATTAAAAAGCACTTTAATATGTTCGCGTAATTATCATGCTGCAATGAATCATTATACGATTAACACTCGTGTATTAATTATTAAGAATTTAGTGCGATTATTTGGGGCGAAAAACCGAAATTTTAACAAATTTCTTTTTAGTGTTGGATATATTTCTTTTTTTAATTAAAAAACGTTAAGTATCTCAATGATTTTTCCTGTATAGCGAAGGCGTTTGACAAACTTACAGACATATATATATATATATATATATATATATATATATATATATATATATATATAATCAAGAATAATCACGTAAGTCGTTCAAAAATTTAATTATGTTAACCTTCTATATAGAGATATATCATCTCTTACAATGAATCATTGTTGCAGTTTTTATCTTTACAATGTTTCCCTCCATTGTCTGTGCAGAGAATCGCCAATAAAATAACATATTAACATGGATGAACCTTTTGTGGCCTAACTACTTTCGCTTTTCAAAGAAAAAAAAATCATTAATATGTGTTATAACAAGTATAGGTTCAAAAGTGAAGGTTGCCCGTCAGCTTGTGCAATATTTACTTTATTAAAGAGAGCTGTTATGTTCATTAAAGTAATTGAATCTTACTCAGCTAAACATCAAGTTGACGTACGCGTTGAGGTCGAGAAATTACTTAGTCTGGAAGCAAATACGGATAATGCTTTCCAAAAACAAAGTTGGATGAGCGATTCTTGTGCGAAAACGTCTTGTCACCCGTATTTATCATTTGCCTATAACTTAATTTTAGTAACAATGGAGTCTATTTATCTCACCTGTAATTTGCCGTTAGCAGACATTTCTAGATATTTGTATTTTAGGCTTTTTGTAGTAATTTCCATAATGTATGCTTCCAGAAGGATTCATAGTGCTTCCATTAATTTTAATAATTTCCGAATAAAATTTACAACTCATGATACTTAACTGAATATTTTAGGGTTTTCAAAATGTCAGTAAATTATGTAATACATAACCTTTTAGTTTACATAACAATTTGGGATATACACCAAATTTATTTACTGTCGTTAAACACTAATAATTAAATTTATAATAACAAAATTGTTTTGAACACGGTACGAAAATTAATTTTGCAAACAAATGTATGCAAATTTGCTCAACTTTTAAAAAACATTGTGTAATATTAAATGGAAATGAAATTAATTATTTACAATAGAAAGCTTGACTAGTAATGTCACAGATAAGTCGTCTTTGACAATGTATGCATTTAAAAGTTCTGTTCTGTTCATCTATGTACTTCATAAAAATTACGATTTTTATTAAGTAGATATATTATTATGACGAAAGTATAAATTTTAGCCATGAGGATACTGTTAAATGATATTTATGATTCAACAATGTAATTTTAAAATTGAATTCCGTTATTACTTATGTTATGTATCAAAGTTGCACTGCACTCGATGATGACAAATGATTTTACGATCACGCTTATCTTGCTCTTCCGTTCTGCGTATCACGATCTCATTTTGGTAACAGTCAATAATTATACGCAAAGTGCGTAGGAGGAATAAATCGGACGTTATTTGGCTTTATGGCGCCGTGAAAGGCATTGCACAATAAGTCCGACTTACGCACTGAGAATTCATACCATCATCGTTATTATAATATTATGCTTATATTATGTTACCGGCAAAGACCTACAGAGTACGAATTTCAAAAAAATATTTGGTTTATTATAATTTTCTTGTTAAGACAATAATGTCTTATGAAACAATTATCAATTTAAAAAACAAGATCAACGCTAATATATGTAAGGATATTTTGATTGATGTCATTTCCTAATAAAAAATTAAGAATTTGTAAGCAAAAATGTTGTAACAAATGTTGTTATTGTAATCAGCGCGTTCTTAAAGTTCACCTCATAAATACCGAGAATCGCGTCAAATATTGTACTTCACATTTTATCACCTACAAATAATTGGTTATGACGTTCGCTAATCAAACAAAAAAATGAAAATTCACTGCGCTAACGAGCCATTTTGAATTAAGTTCGAATACTGGGAATATAACTTTTGTTGTTCAGACTGTAAATATTCTTAGCGTTCTATTTTTTAACTTGCTTAAAGGTTATTATTTTATTAATAATATCCATTAATTAACTTTATTATTTTATAACTCATATCAATTTGTATATTCGATACAGTTTTAGTAGTCCCTTGTCTTCAAAAACCTTTAAAAGCTCACGTCTCAACATGGCAAAAACGTGATTGTTATATATAATCTTTTGGTATAATATAACGTGATTGTTATATATAATCTTTTGGTATAATATATCACCACATTACGACACCTTTGGGTCGGAATAGGGTGGTTTAAGTGGCGCTGTGTGCTGGCGGGGTAGGAGAACCCTTTTTCGCCACCACCACAGGCACTACTTAATGTTCTATTAACCATCTACATGTACTAAGTAGATTATGTCAATATAAGTAACGTCAATGATGTATTTATCATCAATCAACTTCAGGAACTAACTTCGATTGCGTAACAGTTTTGCATCAGTGTTGTATTGTACTGTCATCCGTACGCGAACTACGCTAATGGAACAGATGAACTTTCACGCGCAGTTTTCACTCTGTTTGTATAAGGATTTGCTGATATGCAACTGCACGTATGTAACATGTTTCACGATAAACGTTCGTATTCCATACGGAAACCATAATAAGATTTTATCTATGGTATAGCCGATAAGGCTATTAATAACTAAATTTTATTTAATTTTTATAATGTAAAAAAACTAAACAGGATCGGCAAACGTGCGACGCCAGTGTAAAGTGAACCACTAATTAAATATATTTTCATATGTGACGTGCATGCCTTTCTATCTGGTGCCTTTAAATCTGGTGTAAAAATTGGTCTGCTTTAGACGTGTTTTCCAGATTTCATTTACCTCGCGTAATACAAACCGTCCTGAGGGTCATTGTTAAGGATTTAAGATAATTGAAATGTCAAGTACGATGAGTTCGTCTAGCTTTGTGCATTCGTTGCGTTCTGACGTGTTAAAATTAAGTTTTGATTAAACCTATTTTCACCCTCAGAATGTGTTGGCTTAGTTAGGATTGAATAAAAAGTTAATCTGAATATCTAACTACAGATTAAAACAGACTAAGACGACCCGGAGTTTCTTGCCGGTTCTTCTCTAAAAAGGTCTCGCTTTGCTAGTCGGTGCAGATTTTGATAATCTTAAGGGCTTTAAGTACAACCAAAAGTAATAAAAAATTTTGAATATGAAGAAATAACGTTTTAAAAATTTTATGTGGTATTGTGTGTTAATTATACATAATATGTAGAGTTATATCCTAAGATTTTTTTTATAGAGTAAGATCGAAAAATGTACACACAGTCCTCCTAATGGTAAGTAGATACTGTGGGACGTAGATATCTACATCTATCACCGATTAAGAATCAAAATGCAGGTGCATAGCCATCCCTTGACTAAGATGGAATGTCTCGTTTCCATTAAAAACTCCGGTTCACGACACTAACCATACGAACATAGCAGCATTGGGCTGCTATTTTACGCTGGTATTCCGTGAGAGCGTGATCCTTCTCTGGTCGGGCTGACCTATTCGTGTTAAAACTATATATATATATATATATATATATATATATATATATATATATATATATATATATATATATATATATATATATAACATCGTGACTCTACTGCGCTAAAAATATTATCCTCATCAGGATATATATCCTCAGGTTCATAAAATATATATCAAAACAACACAAAAGATAGAATAATCTATTCAGTGCAAGTGCAATGTATTATAACAATCAAAATACCTAATATGTGTAAACATTATGAATTAAATTGTTTGAGTATTTTATAAAACTTATGTACGTTTCTTCGACTATAAACAAACGGTCGTTGAGCAACTCTAGCTTGGGATCGTCAACTTTCTTTATGTTATTCTGGTAATGTTACGTAATACTCTTTGATTCACGCATTTATGTATGTAATCTTGTAATAAGGATCTAGCTGATATTGTCTGGTGTAGATGCAAGCTCCGATATGCTTCAAGACGCCGTTTATATTTTGCCTCACATTTTTATAATAAAACTATTCAATCAATTTTAGAATTGTTATCATTTGTTCCCAACCTTGTTTCTTTATTGTAATGTTGTGTTAACATTGTAGTGAAAGGCTTTGCGATTACGTTTCTTCAGCTCTGCGTACATTATGCTATGCGATTATTTAGTATGTATAATCTATATCCTCACTAAGGCGACATTCTGTTTGTTACAGATTACCCTAGCGGTAATACAAATCGCTCTAGTCACAGGAAAGGCGTTAATACCGCAAGAACAACAAGCACAGCAACAATTGGAGCCTATTGCTGAGGCCACTAATAACGCGCAGAAACGTGTTGGCTACGACTATCCCGCCCCACCGCTCGATCTTGTGAATCCTTTCCAAGAACACGACGATTTGCACCTTCATGGCGACCATCATGAAGTACTAGAACATCACGAAGAACACGAATATCCCGAAGCACATGAGCATCACGATGAACATCATATTCATGAAGAACATCATATAGAAGAACATCATGAAGTACATCACGAACACCACGACCACCACGATCACCACGACCCAGGTTATTGGAAAAAGAAACTTATATGGAAACCGGGCTGGAAGAAAATATGGAAGCAATCGAAAAAACAAATATGGAAACCATCATGGAAAAAAATTTGGAAGCCTATTTGGGTCCCGACTAAAATTCCCGTTTGGAAAGATATTAAAGTACCAGACTGGAAAAAAATTTACAAACCCGTGTGGAAGCCTATAAAAGTTGCAGCTTGGAAAGAGGTAAAAGTTCCAGACTGGAAAAAAATACAAGTCCCCGTATATAAAGACATAGTGGTACCAGGTTGGAAAGAAATTCAAGTTGTAGCATGGAAACAAGTATGGGTGCCAGAATGGGTTAAAGTAGGCGTACCCGGTGAGAAATACCTTGGTAAAGATCATGACGGATGGGAATACACTTCACATGATCTTTGGAAAAAAAAGTTAATTTGGAAACCAATTTGGAAAAAGTACTGGAAGCCAGCTAAGAAAGAAATCTGGATACCAGATAAAAAATTAGTATGGAAAGATGAGTGGAAGCAAATATGGAAGACAGAGAAGCAAAAAATTTGGGTAGGTGACAAAAAGCTTATTTGGAAAGAAGCTTGGCAACAAATTTGGAAACCGTCGAAGAAACTAGTCTGGATACCAGATAAAAAACTAGAATGGAAAGAAGCTTGGAAACAGATATGGGTGCAAGATTGGAAAGATATTTGGATTCCAGGAGTCAAGAAAATTTGGCGACCAGTTTGGATATCTGAGTGGTTTCCCTCTCCTGATCATCATGAACATGTTCATGAATCGCATGGATGGGATCGAAGTGATAATAGCGCATCAGGTAGTCAAAAGTCAGTAGCTGTTAAAGAAGCTCCTCAGCAACTGAAGCCGCAACAATCTCAGCAGTCAACATGGCAGTTTCCAAAATAATTATTTTAAACTACAGTGTTTTTTGGATGTAGATACATATCAGAGACTTGCACTCGTGCTGTTCTACGAAAATGCAAGAGTCAACAGTCTAAGGAACAATCACATCGAGGTTCTTAATAGGTAATAACTAAATATATCCTAACCAACTGGAATCTAACCTAAATGCACCGCGAAGATTATACATAGCGATGTGATTGTTTCATAAACTTGTGCATTCGTGACTTTAACGAGTAGTGTGGGTTCGTTTTGTTATATAAGACGAGTGTAAAATGAAGCTTTAATTGGTGTAGTATTTGATTGCTTTTGACAAGGAGTAATAAGCGATTTTGCACATTTTATCAAGTTCTTCTGGTCTTATATTAACACATTATTACTTGTATATTTTTCTAAGTATAGTCAGTTTTGAAACCATTCCTATGCTGATTTTCATGTAATATGAGGTTTAGTATTGATAGTTACCTTACCTGTACGAACGTTTTAAATATTTATATGCTCTTGTTCTGGTTTTCTTGCTGCTGTCATGAGACCTGTTGTGTTGTGTGTTGTTGTTTTGTGTGTTTATTGTTGAATATTTTTTATTTTTAAGTTTAATTAAGTAGATATAGCTGAACCAATGAAATAAATTTAAGTTTCTTTTTATACAACATTTTTGTTTTCTTTGGGATATCTTTTTACCTATTATATACATAAAACTTACTTTAACTAGTAAATATTCCATAAGCCATAGCACTGTTAGAAATTATATCACTACATTCTAAAGGAAACTAATGCCGTTTTCATAAAACAATAGCTATTTTCCTGTACAGTCATTGAAATCAATTGAAATATCTTATTTAACTTTCATTAAACTAATGGAAATTGTAGAAAATGGTTAGTTTAAAGTAATTTATTTAACCCTTAGTTTGATATTAGCAGGGTATATCTAGATATAAAAATAAATGGAATAAACATGCGGAAAGTGAGAAACCTAGACGAGAGTCCAAGTAATGAGTTGAGAAAGCGTTAGCGATACTCATCAGGTTGGGTAGGAGAGTTAATAATATGTTCTAAATTGTGAAATAGACAACATTATTATTATAGCTTGTAGATCCTTAGTGTAACAGGTGCAGGAGAAAGCCCTCCTTACTGCACCTGTTACACGTAGACGATACTTTCACAATTATACCACCAGTCAAAGTAACTGTATTTTTAGAACATCTTAATTCCATAAACTCTAAAATTCAATTTACTCTGCACCAACAAATCTTCGTTAAGTGTGGCCGCTGTGACCGAAATTCGCTTTGAATACAATTAATGGAATCCGCTCAATAAAATAAAATGATGTGTCTTACCTAGTTTGAAGAGCAACTCCCGCCCTCCCTCAAATTGCATGCACTAATCCCGTCACCACTAATCCCAGCACAGCTACTCCCAACATCACTACTCTAGGAAAGACACACAATCGACTATAATACGACACGTATTTCGCCTCTACACGAGGCATCTTCAGGTGATGTAGACTCTGCGGTGGCTGACTCAGCCAGCTCAGTGACCCAGACGTACTCCTGGGGTAGAATAGTCCGACGCTAGGAGTCCGACTACGGAACCACCTCTTGTTCTAATGTTCTTAACAAAGTTCAAAAATACCATTGGTAACTTTTAACTGTAACGTGATTAAGAGCGCACGTGTTCTGAATTTCGTTACTTTTAATCTCATTTAATTTTTTTTTTCGAAAAACTTAGGTATATTAAATAATTTAATTATCTATAAGCCATATACTTTATATATTAAATTATTTTTTTATATATTAAATTATCTATATATAACTAAATTATATATATACTTTTACTAATTCTGTAAAGTGCACCTGGGCAAAGGTATTTTTAATACTCTGATAATTAATATGTAGGCTTGAAAGAGTTATTCTATCGGATCTACCACGTGGAGTGCTCAGAGGAATTGTTCGGACTAATTCCAGCCACTCAATTTCACCACAGCACATCGTGAAAAAACTCGAGATACCATCCATACCAGAAACAGAAACAGAGACGAACTACCGCCGCCCATGAACAACTGCAACCCCAGGGGAATTGAAGATGAGTTGCCGGGCTTTTAGAACGGAGTAAGCTCTTTTCTTGAAGGTCTCTAAGTCGTATCAGTCCGGAAAAATCGCCGGTTGTAAACTGTTTCACAGAGAGGTTGTAGGAAGAAAACTCCTAGTGAAACGTGCAGTGGTGGACCGCCAAGCATCCAAGTCCACCGTCACCAAGTGGACCGTCAAGCAAGCAAGGTGTGGATGGTAACGGGAGGCTTGCCGCGTAGTGCGTTCATAAAATTTGGCGGCTGGAAATAATCCGAATAATTCCTCAAAGTACTCCCCGTGATAGATGCGATAAAATACGCAAAGACTTCGCAGCGCTAGTGAATCGAGACGATCGGAAAGCACTCGATCGTTGACGATTCGAGCCGCTCTACGCTGGATGCGGTCAAATGGAAGGAGCTGGCACTGGGGAGTCCCAGCCCTGAGATGGGAACAGTATTCCATGTAAGGCCGAACCTGCGCCTTGTAAAGTTGCAGGCGGTATGCCGGCATGAAATACTGTCCCGCTCGGCTGAGCACGCCAAGCTTTTTAGAGGCCAATTTGGCCTTCTCTTTCAACTGACCATGAAACTGCACGTCACTCAATATGTCGTCGCCGAGGATTCCGATATTGGCTGAGGCAACAAGGGGAGTGCCTTGAAACTGAGGAGATACTACAAAGGGGTTCTTTTTAGCGGTTAACGCGCAAACTTGTATCTTCGGAAGGTTAAACTGGACTAAATTTAGTCGCCCCCAATCCGAGACTTTGTTTAGCAAAGACCTGACTTCAGACACAAGTTTGTCCCGCTACTCAGAGGTGTTTACCCGAGAAATATTGGCACGGCCGGTGTACAGAGCATCACCAGTGCTGTCGTCTGGATAGCAATGAATGTTACCGATTTGTAACGCAAAAATAGTGGAACGCAAGCACTAACAAGCTTGTAATCGGAGCATGCACTGTCTACAACGACCTTGATGCTACAATCTGCAAGAAAGCTGGTGATCCAATTGCACAATTTCTCGGGAAGCCCATAGGAAGGGAACAAGCGCTTTGTGCCAAAACGTTGGGATTGTCCAGCGGTAAGCAAACCCCCACGCCAACGGTTGGATGCAAAGAAAGACCCATAGTGCCAAACACGGCAGCAACTGGCAGAATGCAACCTCGATTTCAGCGTGAGCGGCACCACACTCCGGACAAGACAATAATCCGAGGAGCCAAGAGGGGCATTAACGGAGACCTCATATTTGTCCGGACAAGAGATCACCAGAAGGTCCAACAGGGAAAGTGCATGATCTTCCACATCTGGAATCCACGTAGGCGAAGTAACCAGTTGTGTCAGACCATATGCCAATGCAAAATCATGAACAGATCTCCCCGCATGATCTGTTAAACATGAACCAAACCATTCGGCGTGGTGTGCGTTAAAATCACCGAGGATCACGATCTCTGCGGAGGGCATCTGCTGTAGGAATGAATCTGTAGCTATTTGACGTGGTAGAAGAGTTGGTCTGTTTCAGCATTACCAGTATGGGACCTATAGAGGCACCCGTAGACGCGCGGATGGTCGTCGCTGTCTATGCGTAACCAAAGGATGAACAGGTCCGAACCTTCAAGACTGCTGAGGCGTCGAAAATAGATGTTCTCTCTGACGTATACGCAAACTCCAGACCGAGGCACGAAGGTGTATTCCAGTTCGTACCCCGGGTAGGAGAGATTCGAATTATCAGCCGATCGTGCAATCAACGCTACAAATCTCTTTTGAAAGTTCTGATTGGTCGCGGCGTCATCACGCGAGCGCAACAATGCAAAGGAACTGGCGAGTCGAGTTAGAGACAAGGAGAGTCCTAAAAACACAGTAAAAAAACTATGCATCTCAGTAAATAGTTATTGTTGAAAAGGTGCCGTTGCAGTGACGGCACGGAGACATAACGTCATCGCTAGCTAGATAATAGGACACCTGTTGGACTATCGCACGATCTTTTTCATTGTGCGATGAAATCGCATCGTTTAATCGTGCGATCGATAGCCAGTTAGGATAAAGCCTCAGCATATCTTCTTTTCTTTTTTCACTTTAACCTTTAACCACTTATAAACCGTGCTAGAGAGCTTGTCGTTTTTGCATAATAAGATAATCAATCACCGTGTCACAAGAGGCGACATACATACATCCAAAAATATCTTAAATCTTCTAAAAGATAGTGGTGTTAGCATTTCTTTTCCGCCAGGCGTAAAATACATAGATTAGCGACAAGCAGCATCAATAACGTGAAACTCTGGCACTGCGATCGTTACTTCGCCCGCCAAGCATGTCAATTAATGAATTGTGCATGTCAATTGCCTCCTTACAGGTGTGGTCCATATTTAGATTTTGACAGTATGATGTTGAAGAACTTTATTTATATCTGGTGACTTACAGTGTGCGGACGGTGCGGATGATACACAGGTTGGTGTTAAAGATAAAAATGCAGTCCAAGTATCCAAGAAGACAAATGATATTTTAAATATGCTTAAAAATTGGTTTGAAAAAAACTGAATAATTTTGAATGCAGAAAAAAAGTATCATTATTAATTATGCAAGCAAAAAAACAAAGTCACAAAGAGTGACGTCACATTTTTAGGGTGTACTTTCGATTCCACTTTAAGTTATGAAACCCATATAGATAACGTCTGTAAAAAGTTAGCCAGTGCTAATTACGCTTTATTGAAGCTTAAGCCCATTATTGACAAGAAAACTCTTATATCCGTCTACTTTGCATATTGTCACTCAATTATTAGCTACGCGATTACGATATGGGGAAATGCTACATAAATTGAAAGAGTACTGATTTGTCAAAAAAGGTCGATTAGAATTATACATGGATTGCAAAGATCGACATCAGCTAGAGCCTATTTCCAAAAAGCGAAAATTATGACTGTCGTTTCGTTATATATTTATAGAT